TTTGGAAAAAATAAAAAATATTTAATACAGATTTAGCAGCCATTTAAAGCCTTTTGTGACTCAATTTTTTTTTAAAAAGTTGAAACTCCTATCACCTTCACAGTTTAAACTTTGAAAATAATTTCAAATAAATGTGTAGACTACATTACCATTGATCGACTGCACATATCCCAATGTAGGCTTATTCCCCCCCCTCTAATGTTAACCTGTAGATTAACCATTTAATGAGTTCTCACATTGATATCAAGGGGTTGGCTGTATAAGATTCTCTTATTCTCCTAGTTTTCCAACAAGATGAAAACGGTTCATTAAAGAGATCAAAAGTAACTCAAATTTGTACCAACATAAACTATTTAACAGGAGCTGTCAAGTACAGGTGTTGACTGAGGAAGCTAATAGGATCAGAGGGTGAAAAAGGGTTCAAATAACTAGTTAAAACTGGAGATGAAAAAAATACAACAGATCAGGAGAAACTGATGACAGATTTTGATGTAGTACAATAAAAAGAATCCTTCCATCCCACTCATTTTGAGTGTGATCTCCATATACATTATCCACTCCACAGGCTGGAGGTGACAGACCCAATTGGCAGTTACAGCAATAGAATCCTAACCCTGATGACTTCTGGGCTAAAAATGAGACCCTTTCATGGCTTCTATAAAATGGAAGTGTCTACCCTATCAGCTTCATAGGATGGTTGTAAGGAAACATATCTGAAAATCCTTCGAAAAAATAGTAAGTACTAGACAAACGTAATCTATTATCAATCAGGAGAATAACTGGCATGGATTGTGGAGTTTGAGTGTAGGAGCTGGAGCTTACATGGAAAAAAGTGTCAAAAAATAATAAAAGAAAAAAATCATTAAAAAAAAAAAAAGACAACCCTCATTCATTATAGCATTCTTCCAAGTTTCTGTACAATGAATTTTTTTCCAAACTACGAAGTTGGGGGGCATAAAATCCTAAATTTTAAATCCTTTATTTCAGGGGCCAGAACTATGATCCACTGGCTGTTTCTGTCACTCTACTGGAACATAGCCATACTCATTAGTTTATGTACTGTCTACTATGTGCTACAAGGTCAAATAGTCACAGCAGAGACCATATGGTTCGCAAAGCCTCAAATATTCCCCGTTTGGTCTCTACAAAAACGCCTGCTGAACCCTGCTTTATTCATTCATTGTGGAAAGCTGTCAGTAATCTCTTCCTGTGTGCCAATAATAATGGGTTATCCCTTATTCTTGGTTCACCTGTTTCAAAAAGTAAAGAAATAAAGGCTCCAAGGGAAGTACATTTAACTTTTTATTACTTTTTAAAAATCCAACTTCAGTTAAACAGACTAGATTAGAACCTCAAATGTATTTGATACATTATATACTGGATTTCTATTACTAAAAAGCCAGTTGGAATATGGCCTACACAAACCAAGGATGTGTACAAATGGAAGTAATCACCAAGCAATAACTGTTTCCTTCCAACTCTGTCACTGATTAAATGTGCTCTGTGGGGATTTATAGATTCAGGTTTGACAGAGCTGAAAAGCCCAAATGGGACTGCTTTTCCACCCAGTTATGCTCTATTGGCTTTCAAACAGAATTCCATGTCATTTCTTCCTCACCTTAAGCTCTTACTTATGTTTAAAATTTTCAAATGACCTACACTGATGAGCGGGGGTGAACACACAGAACACTGATTTATCAGCCAGTTATTAGCAATCCTAGCTCACCAACACTTCAGTGTAAGCAGCTTTCACAACAGTTCTTTATTTTCATTTCCTAACACAGTGTAACAATTTTTACTTTTGTCTTTGCACACGTCTGCCTATAGCTGAGAAGAATGTCAAATCAGATAGCTTTAGAAAATGCTCACAGGAGGAACGAGTCATTCCTCATACTGAATTTATCATACAAAATTTCTGCAGCTGTTAACTTTCTGATCTACCCTATCTCTAAATCTAGTCTAGTCTATTTCTGCATACACTTCCAAACAATCTTTTAAAATTGTCACTTCTCTTTTTAATATCTTGATTGCTAAAATATAGCTTCATAATTGAAATTTTATGAAGATATAAAACATTAATAAATATTTGTTTGCATACATCACTACTCCTATTTATTGTGTTCCAATAAATCAAGAAAATGAAGCACTAAGACACGCTAAAATCTAAACTGAAAACCAGATGGAACTACAGTGTATAGATTACAAACAGGCTTTTCTTTCCCAGACTTCATATACAGAAGCCCTTCGGTATGTAGCTTTTCCTGAACAAATTACATTAATACATTTTTTTCTTTTTTACATTTGTAAAAATTGAGGAAATTTTAAAATAACATTTATTTGCAAGACATTTGGCATAAGGTGGAGAGTACACATTTAAGAAACAAAAGCTTTATCAAAATGAATACAATTTATGGGTAAACCCTAAATAAAGTGGCTTTTGGAAGAACTGGAATTTGCAGCAACCACCTTTATGAAGAGGTCCACCCACTCTCAATGGAAAATACCCAAGCATACCATTCATCAAGTGAATACACCATTCACCATTCAGATATCACCACAGAATAATGAATTCTAAGAGCATGGGGCTTGACTTATGGGCAAACCCAGTACAATCTAGGAGCCCAACCTGATCTACTAAAGAATGCTTTGCCATCCCCCCAGCCATTACATTTCCAACTTATCCTACACTTGTACAAGGACATATATATAATGATGTCAATTACTGATGGAGCTAAATTTTAGGAGAAATATGCTTCTAGATACAAGGGGAAAGTTTATCTTTAGTATTTGATAGCAACAGTTGGGAAGTTGAGCAAATAATGTTAACATATGAAAAGGTACGCAACATTAATGGAGTGGAAACACCCCACCCTTTAATTTAGATAATATTTTATTACTAGTCTACAGCTGAGAGCTAGGGAGCTAAACCATTTATGAATTGCATCTTCAAGACACACCACATCCAGGCCCTCTATGAAACCATAAACCAGACATATTTTCTAAAGAACTTTTCAAGGTGATTTATATTCATTTTAATAGAGCTCTTAATATATATGAAAATTAGAAAACTATTTTTCGCTGAAGAGTCCAAACAGAGCTCAATTTAATAGAAAGAACTAGTGCACCGGAAAGCAGCTAAACCACGCCTTCTTTTAAAACCCTACATCTTACCTGCAAGGCTGATGAGAAACAAGTTTCATTTTATTACAAAATCTTGCTGTCCAATGTACACTCCATCAGACAGACTATATACTGTTACAAGTACTTTACATGTAGTTAGAAATATAAGCCATTAAATATTGACTTTTAGTTTTTCTTGTAAGATCTTAAAGGCAGGTAAGAAGGAGAAAATGGAAGAATCAGTGTATTACATTAATATAACATTTTGGTGTGAAAAGAATTTACCTGCAGCTTCTGATCAGATTTCTGTCAGCCACACTTAGTGGTAACCTATCAAATTTTTCACTCTTTATAGTGGTTATATGCCACATGATAGGATGCAGAGTCTATTAATTTATAAACATATTTTATAATGAAACATCTTATTTGTAACTATGAATGGCATGAGTTTCACAATAAGGTTTAAATATAGCTGTTTTGACTCTTTCTAAAAATACCAATATACAGTATTTTTTTCAGTGGTCATTTGCATAGCAAACTATTAAACTAGAAACTCAATGGTTCTAGGAAAACTTCACATTATGGATAGTTCCAGAAAGATGTATTCAAAATTAAAATCACTTCTCTCAGAAACTGTAACCTTTATTTGCTCATCTACTAGTAAGTTAACCACTTTCACCCTACCCCCACTTCACACGGTACACCAACCTGAACAGATTTTGTGCCACAATTTCATTCAAAGGGTTTGTCATTCACTCTATGACTGCACTGGATAATCTAGATGTAAGCAAGTTTGGGGATTTTAAAGTGTGGGTTCTCTGTATTAAAAAAGTGTAATTGATAATTTATGAAAAAAACTGCATTCAGTAATATTATCTTTTGAAAAGATAGCTTCAAATTGCAAACACATCTATTTTCACGAAACAATTTGGTCAGGAAATTTTATTTTAACATTCTAAAGCAGTAATGCTTTAGATGTTACTCAAGTGCCCCAGACAGGATTAACAAAATTAAATGTTTCTAAATTACAAATTTAGTTCCTATAGGAGTCTTGGAAAAGAAACAGAAGAAAACAATCCCCCTCCCAAAAGAAGACACACACACATTTTGAAGAAACCCCATGTTTCATGCAGCGGTAGGCAAGATGTAAAAAGCCACCCAAATTCACACATTTCTACACCAATCATCATCAGAAAAAAGTACTCTGTAGTCAATCTGTACATCCAAATGCATTCTGGGAATCTACACCTACATTACATTATTTAATGTTATATACATTTATTACCCACCCCCCTTGTTTTTAATAATTTCTTATGTAAAACCTTCATTCAAACCCAAAAAAGATGTAAGACTAACTGGGGGAGGGAGGGTGGAGAAAAGATCATCACTTAGGACATTCAGTTAAAATGTACTTTATCTAAATCTCAAAATGTTTAATAAAAACAGTATCTTCTCCATTTAACACTTTGCTTTCTAACTGTACAGTAAATTGCATTGTAGAGAGTACACCTCTATCTTCAGACTGTATCTTCTTTGGATGGAATTAAGATGTAACTGGATAGTTTTGAGATAAATAAATGGGAAGTTGGTCCAACTAAGATGACAGAAGATATATTACATGCAGAATTTAATATTTTTAATTCTCTTTTTAAAAAAGGATGCAGTTGAATTGAAAAAAATAAAATAAAACAGGTCAAAAAGGAACCCAGATTCAATATATAAAAATGTCCCACAATAGGTTGATGATAGCAGTAAAAATAAGAGAAAAAGTAATTATTTCTGGAACATCATTTTTCAATAGCGTGGAAACACTAAGTGCCAGGAAGATTTCTATTCATGTAATTTTAGCATCCAAGTTTCCCTCTATTTATTTTATTGGAACAAATGCTTTAAATAAACTATTTGTCCTCTTCACTGAAGAGAGCTGGTCTATTTCATCTTTAATGAGCTAGTTTTTGGGAAGATTAGCCATGTACTGTAGTAATGCCTACTGCATAAAATCCAAGCATTTGCTGTGAACAGTTGGAGAAAGCAGTCAGTAAGAACCTAGGATCAATGGAAATAGATGTTACTTTACGCCATCCATGAAAGATAGACCCACAAAGTACCCAGTGTTAACGCTCAAATCTCTTCTTGCGCTTTTTTTTTTTGCTGTGCAAGTTCCACCCCTGTGAAAGAGAAACTGATCCAAAGTTCCAGGTATTCTTGGGTCTCTAGTCAATTTTCACATTAGTATAGATTTTTCGGACAAAGGCACTTGTTCCCATGTAACCAATTGCTCCTGTAAAGATAAAATAAGATGTTTTGAAACAAATACATACAGAGCAGTATCCATCTTTTATAAACACTAAATGCCCTCTGCTCTGGAAAGTTATTCTTTTTTATCAAGATAATGTCATTATGCTAGCATTCTCTCTGAACTTATTAAAATTATATCATTTGTTCTGCATATCACCTGATACTACCATACACCAAGTTTGACCTGATACAGAATTAAGTAGCAATTACTACATATATAAATCAATAAATATGAGTTAAAATACATCTTTTATAAATTCAGAATAATTTGTGAATAACAAAAAGTTGTTAAATGAAAAAACATATCTTTTTAAAAAAATATGAGCATATATTATACTAAATCATTAAACCAATATTAACATGTTCCCTAAACCATATGAAATCTTATAGATAAGTAGGTAAGAATGACTGCAAATTCGCTTTAGGAAGGACTGAGGACCCCAGCTGGCCCAATAGCATTTGAAGCTCTAGAGAAGAAGCATATTCTGAGGGTTTCTTTTTTATGTTTAAATTGTACAAGTTGTGCGGTTTATAAAATGGAAGGCATATCTGAGAGACATATATGTAGGTTGGGAGTTTTGAAATGTCATTTTTGAATAATAAGCCTCAAATGGGACTCAAAACACCAGAAAGCAGAGGCATTTGTCTGTTTTGTTAAATTAAGTACCTACCTCTGATGCTGGAGTGCTTGGCACATGACAAGGTACTCAAAAAATATTTGTTGTATGAATGAATGATTGGATAGTTCTTTACTGCAAATACTAAGGGATCTTTATCTTTAGTACAAGACAGCTGGTCATTCAAGTCATAGAGAAGATTCTCTGTTGGATTTAGGAATTTAGCAGCTAGTCCATTATTGAAAGTTTAAAAGTAAATCTTCCATGATGAGTTAATACTGACACACACACACTCATACACCTAACTGGTCATCTTTGAACTAAATGGTTTATGCAAGGAAAGAAAGAAATCTCTTCTGCCTTTCCTATATATATGGACCTCAAGATAACCAAACAGCTGATGAAAAAAAGTTTCTCCTTATAGAATTATCCAGATAATAAATATAAAAGGAACCACAAAGTTAGATTATAAGCACTGAATTACTCGAGCTAGGCAATAGTTATCAATGCTGCTAACCTCACAGAGAGACAACTAGATATTAAGGGCCTCACTATAAAAGTTTACAAACCACTTGTGAAATATTCTTAAAAAAATTTTTTTTTTATCCTCACCCGAGGACACTCCTCCATTTTTTGTTCAGATAGAGTGGGAGGGAGAGAGAAAGGAAGAGAGAGAGACAGAGAAACATGGACGTGAAAGGGACACATCGAGTGGCTGCCTCCCGCACGACCCAACCAGGGCTGGGGACAAACTGCAACCGAGGTACGTGCCCTTAGCGGGAACCGAACCAGGGTCGCTCTGGACCGCAGGCCGACGCTCTAACCGCTGAGCCAAACCAGCCAGGGCAGATAAATATTCTTTAGTATAATCAAGCCTACAGACCTAGCTATCACTTTATAGGAAATATGCAGGATCACATGGAGAAACATTAAATGACATCTCAGGGTTTCCTTGGCAAAATCCAGAGTGTGAAAACCTCTATTGGAATTAAAGCAAACACACAAATACAATCCAAGTTTCTTAAATAAATTGGAAAGGAAAAGAGAAAGTACATCAACAGATTAAAAGAGCCTTAAGCCCTGGCCAGTTTAGCTTAGCAGTTAGAGCATCAGCCTGCGGACTGGAGAGTCCCAGGTTCATTTCCCGCTAAGGGCAGGTACCTCAGTTGCAGTTTGTCCCTGCCCCTGGTTGGGGTGGTGTGGGTGGCAACCACTCGTGTGTCTCTCTCACATCGATGTTTCTCTCTCCACCCCTGCCCCTCCCTCCCACTCTATCTGAAGATAAATGCAAGAATGTCCTCAGGTGAGATTAAAAAAAAAAAAAAAAAAGGCATTAAAAGACATTTTAACCAAGCAATACACTGGTCTTAATTGAATCTTGATGACAAGACATATTAAAAGAGAAATGTGGCTCTGGCCAGTAGGTCAGTGGTTAGAGCATCAGCCCGAAGACTGAAGGATCATAGGTTCAAACCTCGGCCTTGGTCGGGGTGGTGCAGGAGGCAACCAGTCAATGTGTCTCTCTCACATCCATGTTTCTCTCTCTCTCTCCCTCTAAAAATCAATGGAAAAAGATCCACAGGTGAGGATTAACCAAAAAAAGAGAGAGAGAAGTGGGGACAGGTCGAATAAATTTGAACACTGAAATATTTGAATATATTAAGGAAGTATATATATATATATACACACACATATACTTCCTTAATATACACACACACACACTAAAACATTATTATATATAATAAATATATTATTTCAAAGAACATTTCAATTATATATAATATAAACATTTATATATATCACAATGTAGTTACATAATTATATTATAGAACTATTATATATATTCTTATATACAGAAATATTTACAGTTGAAATGACATAAGGTTCAAGATTCATGTTGGATAAGATGGGCCATGAAATGATAATTATTGATATTAGGTGTGTTAGGTATATGGGGACTCACTATAGACAGATAAACAGATAAATTTCCCCTCTCTTTGTATATATTTGAAAATGCCCCACAATTAAATATTAAACATTAAAAGAAAACATCGCCAAAACAACACAGCAAACCTATTTCAATTATTTTCGCAATAAACAGATATTTTATAATATAAATCATACTTTAAAATACTGATAATTCTCCCTGGCCGATGTGGCTCAGCGGTTAGAGCGTCGGCCTGTGGTCCAGAGAGACCCGGGTTCGGTTCCCGCTAAGGGCGCGTACCTCGGTTGCAGTTTGTCCCCGGCCCTGGTTGGGTCGTGTGGGTGGCAGCCACTCGATGTGTCCCTTTCACGTCGATGTTTCTCTCTCTCTCTCTCTCTCTCTCTCTCTCTCTCTTCCTCTCTCTCCCTCCCACTACATTTGAGCAAAGGATGAAAAGGTGTCCTCGGGTGAGGATAAAAAATAAATAAATAAATAAAATACTGATAATTCATTTTGAAATAGTTACATGATAGTTACTATATGATAGAAGTCATTAAGTCATAGGTAAAAAAAAATTTTTCAATTTTGTAAAAATGAACCTGAATCCTTAGAACATAAAAATATCTACAAAATGTTAACTAGAATAATAAATTTAACTGGCATAATATAACACTAGTCCAACAATCAAATAAAATTTCCTAGACTTATAATACATTCTTCCCCTTTGAGTGAATATATGCTTAAAAGCAAAATAGTATCAAACTAGGGAATCATTTTTCCTAATCTCATGGGTGTACTTCAAGAATAAGCTTATAAAAATATGACTTTATAAGAGGAGGATAGTGAATATGCTCTCTAGAATAGTAAATGTCTTGGGAATAATAAAAAGATACTCTTTTAAACTTAATTTCTTTAAAACTAAAATGCTATGCTCAAAATATAGACTATAACAATCTATTTCCCATCTTAACATACTTGTTTCCTTTTTCTGTGTTAAAAAAATCAACATTATTTTTCTTTTTATAAAATATGTTTTTATTGCCCTGGCCGGTTTGGCTCAGTGGTTGGAGTGTCGGCCTGTGGACCAGAGAGTTCCGGGTTCAGTTCCCGCAAGGGGCACGTACCAAAAAAAACTTCTTTCTATCTATCTATCTATCTATCTATCTATCTATCTATCTATCTATCTATCTACACACACACACACACACGCACACACTTTTTTATTGATTTTTTTTCAGTGAGAGAGATAGAAACATCGATGTGATAGAGAAACATCAATTAATCACGTCCTGCACGTCCTCCTACTGGGGATCGAGCCCACAACCCAGGCATGTGCCCTGACTGGGAATCAAACCGGGACCTCTCAGTCCATGGAATGACGACACTCAATCCACTGAGCCACAATGGCCAGGCTCAAAAAATTTTTCTTTCAATTACTGATACATAACTGGTGAGTATGTATAATTCTGTATTATGATGACATTTTAATCAGTTACAGCCTGACCTGTTTCCCCTCTGCCCCCAAAACTGACTGGCATTGAAGGCATATAAACCCACTGAAGAATAAATACTGGGACACTGCCAACACAACAGGGAACTGTAAATGTACTGAGATTTTCAGGTGGCAAAATAAAATTTCAACATCATTAAAATTTTTTTAGTTAAATTCATTCCATTTTATTTGTAAATATCAAGATAGTATTGCTTTAGGTCAAAGATGACATATCAAGGAAAAAAAAAAAAACTTAACCCTCTGCATAATCCCATTATTCTAACCCTCACAGAATGGTGGTGATAATAAAGAAAGATCTCATATTAAGTAAAGAGGAGTTCAATGAGCACTACTCTGAAGGAAAGATGGCCAGTAATACTAAAGGAAACTTCAATGACCTAAAGATATACTAGAATGTTCACATATGACACAAATCTAGTTTTTTTTGTTTGTTTTTTTTATCTTATTTTTTATCCTCACCCGAGGACATTTTTCCATTTTTGTTCAGATAGAGTGGGAGGAACAGAGAGAGAAAGAGAGAGAGAAACATCGATGTGAAAGGGACACATTGAGTGGTGGCCACCCGCACAACCCAACCAGGGCCGAGGACAAACTGCAACCGAGGTATGTGCCCTTAGTGGGAACCGAACCCGGGTCTCTCTGGACCACAGGCCGATGCTCTAATCACTGAGCAAAACCAGCCAGGGCTTGTTTGTTTTTTTAAAAAATCCTCACCTGAGGATATCTATTTCATTTACTTTTCAGAGAGTGGAAAGGAGGGGAGGGGAGAGAAAGAGAGAAACATATCTTAGTTGCCTCCCACACACACCCCAACCAAGGCTGGGGATCGAACCTTCAACCCAGGTATGTGCTCTTGAACCTTTGGTCTGTGGGCCAATGCTCTAACCACTGAACAACATCAGCCAAGGCAACATAAATCTAATTTTAACCTTCAGTTCCTATTCATCTTTCCGCCAGAGTTGGTTAACTATTTAATTATCACAAAGAAAGGTTATCACAACAGCTATAAATAGAACATGTGATCATAATATAGAGACTGTCTTCCCTTATAGTCTGTGGAATAAATTTTACTACTTGACAATGAATGTCATTCATGTGTGCACACATAATTATGTACATGGTATATATAAATGCAATAGATCATTTTTTAAATTGACATAAAACATTATATTAGTTTCAGGTATGCAACACAATAATTCTACTTCACATACAGTTAGAAAACTTTTTTCTTATGAGATCTTTTAAGATCTAATTTCTTAGCAACTTTCAAATATACAATACAGTGTTATTAACTGTAGTCACCATGCTGTACATAACATTCCAGGATTTATTAATTTTATAAGTGGAAGTTTGTATCTTTTAACCACCTTCACCCATTTCACCCACAGCCCCACCTCCCCCTCTGACAACCACCAATCTGCATGAGAGATTCTTCTGATGAAGAAAAAAAGCAATCCCGGTACCCCAAAAGGGTCCACAAATGTCATACCAGAACCTAGCTTTTAACAAGATTATCACATCTGCCTTATTCTGTTATCCTTACAGCTAAAGGTGGAACTAAAAAAAAAAAAGTCTATCAGACTCTTGAGTTTATTTTGGTGTTCGTGATCAGAATGTAATTTCTTAATTTCCCATTACTATATTTTTCTGATTCTGAAACACTCAAAGATTTATTTACTCATGATATTCCAAGAATTTCAGAACTTACCACACATTATCCCCAAGGCTGTGCTAAATACCGCCATATATCCAAAGTAAAATGATGTTTGAAATAAGCCATACATCCTAAAATAAAACAAAATAACTATAAATAGTATATCCATTTTCACTTTCAATGTAAGGCCTTAAATATAAGGCCTTAAATTCTAGTATTTAAATGATAAGTTCGGTTTCCTAAATACAAAATGAGAAAATGTTTCAACTTACTTTGTTTTGAAAAAATAGTAGTAAAAGGAATACATGTAAACATAGATCGCAGTTGATGCAGCAGAGAGAAAACTTGTCCATTGCCTGGGGGGAAAATATAGCTCTTTTGAATGAATGGCATTGAAATGAGGATTTTTAAAAGCAAAGAATTTTATTTTAAAAACTCCTTTAAAATGTTGTCTATTTAAAAACAAATGCGCATACTTCACAGTTAAATACATCAACAAGGGGAGAGCCTAAGAACTAGAAGAAGAGATCCTGAATTTTATCCGATTCCCTAGCTCTTTCTATATCAAGCATTTTGTGAAAGTATTTCTAACACAGTGACCCTGATTAATACAAAAAAACTGACTGATACTATTTTTCATGATTTTTACAACAGAAAATCTTCATCATATTTATCTACATCATTTTTATAAGTGAAAAAAATCCCTATACATGTAGCAAAATTTTTATACAGGTCTTTTACTTCACTCAACATACTTCAAATGAAATCTAATTTTAAAATAGTACAGTCCTCAGAGGTTCTTCCCAGAAATAAGCACTCACCACCTATAATCCTCTGCATTTAGCAGAAAGTATGTGCACACGATGGTCACACAGACGGTCACGATGCACAGGATGACCAGCACCAGCATCATGAAGCCATAGACGTAGTAGATCTTATATGCCCAGAAAGATGTGAAGATGAAATACCTGAATAAAATGCAGAAAGACAGCTTTCTAGTCTTCATCTTGCAGCTCACCCTGCTCTCACTAAGTCTCACATTTTAGTTCTCACTTAAAGTTCAATATTTTTCTTTCAAGTAACTTCCAACAATTTCCCTTACCTTTTTTCATCTTAAATACTCTAAATTCTCTCCAAAATATTCTTGGATAATCTTTCAAGAACAATTTCTTTAGTGGAACTTTTATGTCTAAGCAAACAATGAATTAGAAGCTTAAAGGAGTAAAATGTGGAAGAACAAATAAAAAGAGCTAAAAATTCATATTTGTAAAATAAAGTTAATTCCCTCATTCTTTCATTTTTTTCCTAGATACAAAATCACTCAAGCAATGTATTTTGTATTTTACAAAATATCCTATTATATTAAAAACTAGGTTTGATAGAGTAATAATGTATATAAAATTAGGGAGGAAAAACTAGGAAAAGAAAGACTAAAGAAGCTTTATGCAGAGGACAGACAGAGAAAGGGCGTTAGTATTTCACACTAAGCTCTGAAAACAGAACACTGTCACCACCCTTGAAACTCCCCTCATGCCTCTATAATGACCACCAACCTTCACCTTGAGCCATACCCACTTTGCCGCCTAACCCTAAACACTATAGTATTATTCTGCCCTTTTGTATTTACATTAAAGGAATCACACAATGTAAAAAAATAAAAGAAAGACTTACACTAAGAAAAAGACTATTCTAATTCCATTACCCAAGTCATCATTCAGTTAGAAAGGGTATCTTCTAGTCTCTTATCTTTTTCTTGTTCTCTTGTGTTAGTTCATTTGTTCCTTATCTCCTCTGTCAGGAACAGTGAGAACAGAAGTGTGAAGATGACACAGTCTCCACTCTCAGGGAGCTTACTGTTCAGCGGGGACACCGGTAAAGGGGCAATCATGATACATTGTGATACGTGCTCTACCAATGCATCTAAGAGGGGCATCTTACTGGTTTCGCTGGGTGGGGCTTTGGGAGGAAGAGTAAGTGAGAAGAATCAGATAAGGCATGTGAGAAATGGAGGGTGAGGGATAGGGGGTAGGTATAACAAAAATAATGTTCCAGGCATAGAAACAGCAAAGGCAAAGGCTCACAAATAAGGGAATTCACTGTATTTTGAAAGACTCAAAGGTCAGTGTAGCTAGAACTACAAATGAAGAGATGAGAGCTAAGAGATGAAGGTGAACAGGGCCAGATCCTATATTATAAGGGCCCTTTATTGGCCATGTTATGGAGTTTGGACTCACCTCAATGAAAACAAGAAGTCTTTAGCAAAGAAGTGACATGATCAGACTGATACCTCAAAAAGATCACTTCAGCCACCAAGGGCAGAATGGCATAGTGTGAAAGGGGTCAAAATAGGAGAAGGTGAAGATACAGCAGAAAGGCTATCTAATGGAACAGAGTACCTGAGAAAGCAGGAAGAGATGTGAACCAGAAGGAACTGGGGATGGGGATAGGAGAAAAAATTGGTCACATCAGGGTGAGGACAAAAAGCAGTATCAGACGGAGAGGAGAGAAGTTCCTGAACTGGCTTTATTAAACCACGAGCTAAAATGACACATACGCCAATCCAATCCCTCTCTGAGCTACTGACTAGTACTAACAGCGGGCAAGAGCTTGCCCAAATCTATCAGTTGTACTTGTTAGTGTAATTAGACAATTTAATTAAATGTCACATAAAATAATAAACATAAGATAAAAAAGAATGTGTGATTTCTAAAAATTATTTTGAATGCTTTGGAAAAGTTCAATAAGGTAAGTTGCTAAAAAATGTTATAAAGTTAGGTGTGGGTGAGATAGTAATAAAAGACTGAGGGACAAATGTTCAAATCTAGAAGGATCCTGCACTTAGAATGTTTCAGATGGGTCTTTACACGTTCTTGCTCCACTTTAAAAAGGCTGGAAAGCACAGATGTATTATGAAGGTCAAAGGAAAAATGACGGAAACACCAACTAGATACAAATCACAGAAAAGACTTTGGCTTAAAATTTTTTTTTAAAAATCAGTGAAGAATGCACTTTTAGTTTTAAAATAAAATGTTATGTATGTATCTTTCTTTATAATTCCCTTACATGAGCCAACTTTCAATTAACCAACTATCAGATCCAATCATGTCTGTTAAAGAGGGGTCCACTCTGCAGGAGAGAATCAGCAGTGAAAGAAAACATGGAAAGGAATTGTGAGCCGTTACAATGACTGGCATTTTGTGGGCAGGGACCGAGGTGTATGACTGTAGTTCTTGAGAAAGTCCCATACATTGAGCTGCCTTGCCTAAAATGCCAGAGCATTCCCATCAAGAAACACTGGAACGCAGGCTAAGAAAAAGAAGGCTTACATTTTGCAGCGGTAACCAAGGATGCAGTTGTGAAGCATGGTAATTGGACACAAGGTGGCCTACCTCCCAACCCCAAACACACACACATTTCCCAGCACTCCTGCAGGTCTCTGTGGAAGGAAACTAGGAATGACTATGCATCCGAAGATGCCAGGATAGTCTAACTGGTAGGTCATTATTTACCTAGTTCCTTGGACCCTCAGAAATATTTTAAAAATACAATAAAAACCAGTAATTTCTTATATTGTACATGTGATCAAAAGCTGGTCTAGCATTCTCTAGCGTGCATGCTTTGATTTCTAAGATTTCCTGTAAAATGAGAGTGGTCTAGAACATAATACAAAAAACGTGTAAACTTCACTTGAATATTTGAGAACAGAGCAGAAAATTATTTTTTGATAGATACCTGGACCCCTTTCTAGAAGCCATGGAATTGACTATGATGCTTTCCCACCCTACCCTAAGTCCTAAATTCTCTAATATCAATTAAATCCCTCAAAGCATAAATACACTGCCAAAACTTACATTTCAATGAAGATTGAGCCAAAAGGTAAAATTCCTCCCAGGCAAACAATAACTGCAGGCTCCATAAACCTACAAAATATTAAAATTAACAGTAAAGCTCTAGTATGATTTTATGTTATATTATATAAATCCTGGTAACAGAAAGCAGATGCTTAGTACTTAAAAACAACCTAAAGAATAGAAACATATCAATAAAAGAAAAATTAAAATCCAAAGAGACATGACAGAGGTGGGTCTTCAAATTAGTCCTAGATTAGAGTCAAAATTCTTTCCAGCATTAAAGACTCTGTGTTTTTGTTCCTTTCTATATCTCTCAATAACTTCTAAGAACTTTACAGGCATTTACTTACAGAAAGCCACAGAGAAAGACAATAAAAGTCTGATTGAGATCCCTACTGAATAATGTTTCCCAAACGGTGGCCTTGCCATTCTTTGCTCACTCTTTCATTGGTTCAGTAATTTCTCTTGCTATGAATTATACAATTAAGATATTATGAGTCCTGAGTTATAATGGAGCCAAAGAATGAAAAAAATAAGTGTCAAACTCACTCATTTACTCAGTAAACATTTACTAACTGCAGCTGGTCACTCTGTACCTGGAATGCCTTGTCTCAGGCCTCTCTGCACATGTCCGCTCGAGTGTCCCCTTGCCGCCTTCCCGGCGCCTCCCCATTCTTCCACTGCCCTCTGAGCACAACTCCATCACAGCACTTTCTACACCACACTGTAACTGTCTTAATTACATGCAGACCTCACTGGATCATAAACCCTGCAGGCAGAAGCTACTCATCTAGGTACTCACAGTGCCCAGCACAGTGTCTGGCACATAAAAGGCACTAAACTAGATCTCTAGAATGAACAAACTAAAAAACTGAGAGGAAAACCAAAGAATTTGAGAGCTGGAAGAAAAACTAAAGAAAAAAAATCATTTAATTTAGTCTTCTTTCCCCATTTTATAGAAAGCAAGACCTACAGTGGTTAAAATGATCTTCTCAAGGTGATAGAGTGCGAGCATGATTTAGTTTTCAAATTTGGGTTCCCATGTGTCTATATAAGAAAATGAAGATACACACAAGCCTTCTAACACCTAAATTTAACCCATGGTTGGCAAGGTCATATGTTGTTCCTTCCCCTCCTTTGCTAGCTCTAGTGACCTAGAAGAACTTTTGTGATTTCTGACTATGCTTTTCCTTTAAACTTATCATCCCCAGTAATAGGTGAGTAACAGGACACCAAAGGGCCTAAAAAATCAAATTCGAAAAATATAGTTGAGTTAAAAAAACCAACTAGAAAATTCTCATAAAACCAATCTAAAAAAAAAAGAACACAAACAATTTCTAAAACTAAAACAGATCACTTTCCTTTTAATCAATAGAAGCTATTTTATTCAGATTCCATTTATATAAATGTCTACATACCTCCAAGTCTACAAATGACTGTATAAGTACCTGAACGTAAGTTACATTTATAATGTGGCAAAATATCTAGGAACATACATATCCCTTATTAAGACTATGTAGCCTACTGTACAGCTATTCTTTTTTTTTTTTTATCTTCACCCAAGAACATTTTTCCATTTTTTGTTCAGATAGAGTGGGAGGGAGAGAGAGGAAGACAGAGAAAGAGAAGCATCGATGTGAAAGGGACACACTGAGTGGCTGCCACCCGCATGACCCAACCAGGGCTGGGGACAAACTGCAACCAAGGTATATGCCCTTAGCGGGAACCGAACCCAGGTCTCTCTAGACGGCAGGCCAACACTCTAACTGCTGAGCCAAACTGGCCAGAGCTGTACAGCTATTCTTATGAGATGAGGAATGTAACAAATGTACAGTAAGACTGTCCTAATTTTGTCTGCAAGTAAGAATTAGGAAAATGAAGTATGAAGAATAGAAGAAATCAATTTAATAAATATTAAATTTAATATATTATTAAATATTCAACTTACTCGTTTTAAGAGGCAAAATATATATATACGTTCAGTTCACATTTTCTTAAAATTTGAATTAAAAGAATTAGAGATATAAACATATTAATGACATCTCATTTTATGTCCAAAATTTGAAAAACTATAAATCATCTCAAATTAAAAAGCCATCAAGAATCATAATTTGAAAGCTGACTGGTCAAATAAACTGTGAACTATGTTTACACTGGTGCAACAGAAGAGTCTCTTCATCTATTAAACAGAAATACTTGTCATCCTTTTTAGGAGGTCCTCAAGAACACATTTTGTGCATAAAAGATGACAATGTATTTGAGAGATTCGACAATACCCCAGAAGTGAAGATAAAGACTGCAAGTCAGTCAGTTACAATTGGTCTCAACCCTGATTCATCTCTCAGTTGTAGGATATATATGGCTCTAAATATGTGTCAGTGTTGTTCAGAATAATAAAATATCTGGAAAGGAAAATCAAATTATAAATGAGGGACTGGCAAAATTTCCCTATAAAGGTTCAGGTAGCAAATACGTCAGGTTTGCAGGTGTTATGGTCTCTGACATAACTCCTCAATTCTAATGTTGCACTGTAAAAGCAATCAGGGACAATATGTGAACAAACAGGTGTTCCAACAAAACTCATTTTAATAAAAACAGCAGGTCGAATTGGGCTGTAGGCTGCAGTTATAAAACGGTTGCAGCTTTCATTTTCACCCACCTTTACACACAGTGTACTTATCAAAGCATTTAATTAATCTGTAAATGGCACCAATATTCAGAAAGTGAAATAAGGATAAAATTTATGACTATTTCTGACAATACAGGCTGAAGGAAAAAACAAAGACAAATTCTTAAAACTTAAGAGAGTCTTATAAATACATGCCAATTCTAAGTTACATATATGTCACAGCCTTAAGAACTTATACATTGTGAAAGACAATCATGTAAGATTTTGCATGCTCTTTACCATTTTTTCTCCGGTATGGGACGAGGCACAGCATTGACACGACAAGGAAAGTTGGGCTGACCTGATAGATTTCGGCCAAGTATTGTACCAACAAGATTTAGAGGAAGAATAACAAAAAAACAGATGCAACAAACGGCCACCTGTAAATAAAATTAAAATGTGTGTGATTATTCAGAACAATAACATTAATAAAGATAAATAAAAGGGATACAAAAATTTAAACACAATTTGATAACAAAAGTAAATATTTAGATTCAATGTGGGTTAAAATTGCGCAAGATATACACTAATGAAAATAGGAAAAGAATGTGCTTTATAATATTAAAATTGAACTAAATATAAGTTGAAGTGTTTCCTATTTACTTTACTTCCTTGTTTTTCCTATTCTTTCATACTGTCTCTGCTATAGTCCTTTTTTCTCTTTCAATTTCAGTTGCCATGCTTGTAACAATCCTTCCTCTTCCTTCATTATAACCAACTTATTTACTTGGCTACACTTTATTGAGCTCCTAATATGCACAAAGAGCTTTACATAAGTTATTTCACTATTTTATATATGGACAAAATGATACTTAGGCTAAATAAATCCTATGATCACACAACTAGCAGGTAGCCAGACTAAAATTTCAATTCAGACCTGTCTGTCTCAAAGACCATGTTCATTTCTACTCTGGACTACAGTAGGATATTATCAATAGAAGCATAGCTCTATTTATTATATATGTGTCATTACTAAAATAATATTGACTATTAGTAATTCCAAGTCTAAAGTTACAGGGAAGACGATGTCAAATTCTAGAACCAAAGTAGTCAGAAAAACATTTACTTTTGTGATTTTTTCTTTAGATAAATCTGGGTACACATGGACACAATTTCAAGCTCTTTTCCAGCCAGTATCAGTTAAGATCACTTCACAGTGAACTTCTGAAAAATGAAGTAGGACTAAATCACCTCTAAGATCTCTTTTAACTATACATTTTGGGATTCTAATTAATAGAAAGTAAAAATGAGGAAAAAGTTAAATGAAACTGAAGAAATAAAAGAAATAAAGAACAGTCAATAAAGGTACCTATAAACAGCCTCATCAAGACATTATCAACTGTTTATCATTTGCTTAATTTCCCCCTTCTCGTCTTACTTTTTCTTATATAGGATAAAAAATGTGAGCAATTTGTTAGAAATGCAGTGATTAAACTATGAAACCAATTTTCTACTCCTTTGTATAAAAGTTCTAAATGAGTTTATTTGAAGAATACTCTCAGATTGCAAGGGAAGCTGTTTTTTTAAACCAAAAAAAATGTCACATGGAACTAATAAATCATCCCTGAAGTCAGAATTTTTCTCGATACTGATATTCAACCAATTAAATTGGTTACTGAAGAAAATAGGACTGGCCCTGGCCGGTTTGGCTCAGCGGTTGGAGCGTCGGCCTGTGGTACAGAGAGACCCGGGTTCGGTTCCCGCTAAGGGCATGTACCTCGGTTGCAGTTTGTCCCCGGCCCTGGTTGGTCATGCGGGTGGCAGCCACTCGATGTGTCCCTTCACATCAATGTTTCTCTCTCTCTCTGTCTTCCTCTCTCTCCCTCCCGCTCTATCTGAACAGAGAATGGAAAAGTGTCCTCGGGTAAGGATAAGAAAAAAAAAAAAGAAAAGAATATAGGACTGAACTGCTACTCATACCTTTTGATATCAGATCCATATCCATCACAACTTTACTGCTCTCATAAATATAAAATGTTAAAATACTGAATTTGTAAAATTTATTTATACTAATAGAATCATGCTTATATCAGCCTTCTATATTTTGCTTCCATATTAAAGTTTTATTTTAAAATTAAATTTAGCAGCGAAGAGTTAAAAAAAAATTAGTCTAATATACTGGTGAAAACCCTGGAACTCAAACCAATACAGGGCCTTCCCCTAGCCTCCTAGTCACTGACCAGGGACCACTGGAGAGTGAAAACATGCAGTGGGGAGGGGAAAGACTTACTCCAGGTTGAGGGCCTCCAATATCTACAATAAGAACCAGTTAGAAACAAATACTGCCTACCAGTACTTAATACCTCACAGATGTAGCAACTGACCAACTCTTCTCAGTCTCGGTCACAAACCAAGAATGTGGCTATTACTTATTCTACCTTTGCTTCCAGACTGGCCTTTGGAAAATCTGTGGTGTGAGTAAGATGGAAAGGGAGAAAGCAGCCTGAAGTGGGCTATTTTAGAATGCTAAAGGATATAAATTTTATTTAGGGTTGTAGACAGTAATTGTTTATAGATAAGGTGGTTCTCAGGAAATATATATTATCTTGTCAGCCATTATATTATGTTTATGCATTTCTTCAACACCTACTCAGAGTAGACTATTTTATCATCCTTTTCTAGTTCATACATTTTTATGACTTTATAGCTTTATATAAAGATGATTTAGCTTCAATTTAATTGGCAATAGTACCTAATAAGCATGGCATCATCAACTCAAAAACAAATGCCTATAAGAGGCCTAACTTTATCAGATATTTTCAGCATGCTAATAAATAACTCTCATTCTGTTTCTTGAGCCATTTCAGTACTATAATAAAAGAAATACTGGATTTGAAGTTGAAAACTTATTCTATGTTTTCATTTTCTAGGAATTAATACCCAGAATTGAAATTGCTGAATCATATGATAGTTTTATTTTTAATTTCTTCTTGAACCTCCACACTGTTTTCCATAGTGGCTGAAGCTAGCATTATCCTGATACCAAAACCAGAAAAAAAGATATAATAAGAAAACTACAGGACATCTACTAAAACAGGCCACTGTAGGAAGCCTAGGAGACATAGCAATTCTACCTAATACATAGAAACAAACACAGGGAGGCAGCCAAAATGAGGAGACAAAGAAACATGTCCCAAATGAAAGAACAGAACAAAATTCTAGGAAAAAAACTAAACAAAATAGATATAAGCAATCAATCAGATGCAGAGGTCAAAACACTGCTTATAAGGACACTCAGTGAACTTTGTGAGGACCTCAAGAGCATAATAAAGGACCAGTCAGAAATGAAGGATGCACTAACTGCAATAAAGAATAATTTACAGGGAATCAATAGTAGAGTAGGTGAAGCCAAGAAGCAAACCATCGATTTGGAATATAAGGAAGCAAAAACCACCCAATCAGAACAGTAAAAAAAAAAAAACAGAATCCAAAAAATGAGGATAGTGTAAGGAGCCTGTGGGACAACTTCAAGCATATAAACATTCACATCATGAAAGTGCCAGAAGAAGAGAGAAAGCAAGAAATTGAAAATCTATTTGAAAAAATAATGACAGAAAGCTTCCCTAACTTGGTGAAGGAAACAGACATACAAGTTCAGGAAGAACAGAGAGTCCCAAACAAGACGAACCCAAAGAGGCCCACACCAAGACACATCATCATCAAAATGCAAAAGGTTCAAGACAAAGAGAGAATCTTAAAAGCAGCAAGAGAAAAGCAGTTAGTTACCTACAGGGGAGTTCCCATAAGACTGTCAGCTGATTTCTCCAAAGAAACTTTGCAGGCCAGAAGGGAGTGGCAAGAAATATTCAGAGTGATGAAAACCAAGAACCTACAACCAAGATTACTCTATCCTGCAAAGGTGTCAATTAGAATAGATGGCCATATAAAGAGTTTCCCAGACAAGAAAAAGTTAAAGGAGTTCATCACCACTAAACCGTTATTATATGAAATGATGGTCTTTTTGAAGAAAAAGACAAAATATATGAACAAACAAAATGGCAATGAATACATATCTATTGACAATGGAATCTACAGACAAAATGAACAGGCAGAACAGAAACATTCTCATAGATACAGAGAACATTTTGTTGGTTGCCAGTTGGGAGGGGGGTTGGGGGAATGTTTGAAAAAGGTGAAGGGATTAAGAAGTACAGCCCTGGCCGGTTTGGCTCAGCGGTTAGAGCATCTGCCTGCGGTCCGGAGAGACCCGGGTTCGGTTCCCGCTAAAGGGCATGTACCTCGGTTGCAGTTTGTCCCCGGCCCTGGTTGGTTGTGCGGGTGGCAGCCACTCGATGTGTCCCTTTCACATCGATGTTTCCCTCTCTCTCTCTTCCTCTCTCTCCCTCCCACTCTGTCTGTACAAAAAATGGAAAAATGTCCTCGGATGAGGATAAAAAAAAAAAAGAAGTACAAATTCATTGCTAGACTGATAAACCTCAAAGGGAAAGGGGTTAGGGGGTGGGAAGAAATAAACCAAAGAACTTATATGCATAACCAATGGACACAGACAACAGTGTGGGAAAAGGCAGGAGGGGGGAAGGAGTGGGGAGGAGGGGGTCAATGGGGGAAAAATGAGGAACATCTGTAATACATTCAACAATAAAGATTTAAAAATAAAAAAATTACAACTAAACTATAGAACAAACATCCTTCAGAACCACCCGAAATCAAGCTGAATGGAAGTCCTACAACTATGAAATAAAAGAAGCCACATGGAGACTGGTAGGAGGTGTGGAAGAGGCGTGGACAGGCTGGTCCCACACCCATGTGTGGCAGATAAAAATCAGGAGGGATATTCAGCTGTGAAGGTCCTCCCTGAGGAGTGAGGGGTCCCCGTCCCACAACAGGCCCCCCAGCTCAGGGTTCCAGTGCCAGGAAGAGAAGTCCCCATAACTTCTGGCTGTAAAAATAATAAATAAATAAATAAATAAATAAATAAATAAATAAATAAATAAATAAATAAATAAATAAATAAATAAAGTGATGAAAAGCAAGGACCTACAACCAAGATTACTCTATCCTGCAAAGCTACCATTTAGAATTGATGGCCATATAAAGAGTTTCCCAGATAAGAAAAAGCTAAAGGAGTTCATCACCACCAAACCAGTATTATATGAAATGTTGACAGGTCTTCTTGGAGCAAAAAAATATGAATAAAATGGCAATAAATACATATCTATCAACAAATGAATCTACAAACAAAATGAGCAAGCAGAACAGAAACAGACTCATAGATACAGAGAACTTTTTGTTGTTTTCCAAATGGGTAGGGGTTGGGGGGTGAAAAAGATGAAGGGATTAAGAAGTGCAAACTGGTTGTCAGACTGAGGAACCTCAAAGGGAAGGAGGAAGGTGGGGCAGGAAGAGAGAAACCAAAGAA